TCTCGGGGTCGGGAATCCGGTCGGATCGGAGACTCTCCTGCCGGATCTAGAGATCCGGAATCCGGCCGGACGTCCCGTTCCGGGAATCTAACGTCCAGGGAGAAATCCGAGCTCGAACTTGCACGGTCCTGAGAATCTGAAATCGGGGGTGGGGTCCCAGGAATCTGAGTCACATGGGAGACCCCGGGAGCTGGGACGGCGGTGTTCGCCACCCGGACTCAGGGGAGAGCCCGCCAACGCTCTTTCCTGCCTTCACAAGTAGGCTGGGCCCAGCCCTTTCCCGGCCGACTGGGAAAGCTCCACCCTCGGCCCTGGGGCAGCGCCGCTCCCTAGCGGCTCGGGACTTGGCCTCTCCCCTCCCTCCTCTCCCGCCAGAACTTCTGAGACTGGCCGCTTCCGGAACAGCTTGTGTCCCTGTGCTCGCCAGCCACTGGGGACTGCTCACAGCAGGCGCTCATAAAGTGTACCCAGGCCGGGGCTAGGGAAGAGGCACAATCTGCAGGGACCTGTTGAACAAATGGCTCTCCAGAAACACCGTGGTGTGCTGAACTCGATGACACATGTGCAGGCTGGGACGGATTGGAATGGGGGAAGCTGCACCCCAGGCCGACCTGTCCAAAAGCCTTCAGCCCTGGAGTGGGATTTGGCATCTGAGTCAGTCTTTGCCCTCTTGCCAGGGTGCTGCCTTCGCCAGAGTCTAACCTGCTGTGTTGTCCTGCTGACCTTTGAGTGTACCCAGCACATGACTATGGGACCTGAGAAACCTTTCCCACTGTGAACATTTCTCTACCCACCCTTTGAAGGAGAACCCCTAGAAGCCTCAACACTTTGGGTTACTAACCTCGAGTCCCCAAGAATTCCTAACTTTTTGTGTGAATTAGTGACTGAGGCAGCGACCTGGTGTAAACTTCAGTGGACCCTGAAATCAGGAGCTGGGGACTTAGAGAGGCTATGTAACTTGTCCAAGATCACTCAGCGCATGACAGAGCAGGATGCAAATCCAGAACTGCTTGTCACTCTTAAGTATTTCTGCCACCTACTAGAATGTGACTTTGGGCAAATAAACTGCTCAATAAATGCTAGCTCAGTGTTCGCTGTTTCACTGCCCTGTGGCCTTGTGGAAGAAAAATGTGCCTTCCTGCACACCATGAGGGAATGCATGAAAAAAGAAAAAGAAAAATGTGCCTTCCTTGGTTTGACCCTGGATTCAAACCAGTCCCCAATGGGAGAGGCAAGAAGTAGTAGAGGGTGAGAACTGGACCTAGACCGACAACAGAGGCTGGAGTGGAAAACAGACACGTTACAAGGGACAGGCATGAGCAACAGAGAAGATGAGAAAAGTGTGCAGTTCCTGTCCCCAAAACCATCTGCTTGCAGGACCCAGGGGTACAAGGAGAATTGTCAGTGGATGCTCCTCCAGTCCTGGCCTTGTCTTGCACACCTCCAGAGACAGAAGCCTCACTACCTTAAGAAGCTGTCCCTTCCATCTTCCTGACTGGAAGAAAGTTCTTCCTCAAATGGAGATGAAACTTGTGTCCCTGCTCGGCCCTCTAGGGTTTTTCTAGTAACTGAAAGAACTCTAAAAGCCAGGAAAGGGTTAAAATGATTTTATTTTTAAATGTGGACAGGGAAGCAGAGGCAGTTGTGGGTGCAGAGGGGAGGCAACAGAGGGTCCGGAAGCTGTACAGGAGAGATAAGGGTAGTGGCTGCTAGGGTGCCCTAGTGAAGCATCATCCGAACCCTGCGATAAGGGTGGCCCACACCGCGGCCTGAGGCCCAGTCGATGCCATACTTGTGGGCGGCAGCTTCAGACACTTTATAGCGCCCATTGAGATTGGATTGGTAGCAGGCTGCATACCACCAGGCACCATGGACAATCACTGCACAGTTGTGGCCACCCGAATCGTGGTCAGCATCATAGGTGGTAAAGGGCCTCCCACTGTGGAAGGTAAGGGAGTCCCCTGGCAGGGAGGGGAGGGAAGGCACGTTGGCACCCAGCACCTTGCCTAGCACCTTTGGAGATATTACAGGAGTCACAAAGCCACTATGAGGTGAATTTGATCAGGCCCCGTGAGAGAACAGCAATGCCAAGGGGCCAGGTTGTTTGCCCAAGGTCACTCATCTAGTCACAGCACAGTGGGACTTGAATTCAGTATTGTCTGGCTCCAGAGCCACCAGCTCTTCCCCTTGCCTCCCCCTTCCAGCATCCCCAGCGTCCCGCTAGCTCCCTTGTCTCCTCTCACCTCCCATCAGCAGGCTGAGCAACTCTGCCAAGGAGAGCTAGGAGGAACCTCTTGGATGCCTGGGCATGAAGGAGGGTCCCCTGAGACACTGCCTCAAAACCACTTCCCTCTTTGAAATCTGTCCCCAACAGTCACTGTTTCTCTGAAAGAAGCCTTCCTTGGTTCCTCTTCCGAAGCAGAGAATGCTAACACTCAACAGAGTCTCAGACAGCACCCACAACCTCCTCCCTGCCTCCTTATCCATTTTCTAGAGGAGAAAACTGAAGCTCTGACAGAGAAGAGACAATGTCATGTAGTTAATATGGCAGAGTTGGACTCAAACTCAGATCTCTTTACCTCCAGAGACCAAATTCTTCTCTCTCGTACTATCCTGTCTCATGATGGCCATTTCTCAGATGACGAAACTGAGGCCCACAAAGGGGAAGAATCCAGCCTCCTTCCCCGTTTCCTTCCTCCAGGCCTCACCTTAGGTGCACTCACCTGCAGTGCCCTCCAAGAACTTGCCCAGCACTAGCGGATAGTGGTCAGCCTCCCCAAGAAGGCGAAAGGTTGCATAGTGGGCAAAGGTACGGTTGCCATTAAAGTCTTCCAGCTCTACCCGCAGCTCCCAGGTACCTGGAAGGAAGAGGAGGCAGGGATGGAGGAACCCCCAGATCCCAGGGTGGGATTCAGGATGGCAGACAATACCTCTCAGGCCCCTCAGTTTCCTGCTGGGAACTCACCCTGGAGAGTAAGCTGGTGCAAATTCTCGTTCCCCAGCCAGAATTCAGACTCCTGGCTCCCAAAACCTGCTTTGTAGGAGGACCAAGAGCGGAAGAAATCCACAGAACCATCCTGGCGCCTCTGGAACACCTAGGGAGGAGAAGCCGGCATACCAACTGTTACTTCAGGCTGAATGGGCTGCAGGAAGCAAGGAGAAGTGGCAGCTGAGGGTACGTGAACTGTGGGGAGGTGGGTGGACACTCCCGTCTTTGGATGGGAAGCTTGGGGGTAAAATGTGATTCTTCGAGGGAGCTTTGCCTGTGAATATATTGATGAACTCTACATTCCCTTATTAACATTTACTGACACTCAACTTCATGCCACAGCCTTGTAAGCCCCAGGAAAGACTGAAAGGGCAGAAACACTGTCCCTGTCCTCAGAAGATGGTCAGTCCTACCGGGAATCAGACTCAAAATAACCTGCTTTAATTTACTGTGTTAAGAACCAAGATATTTAAAGCGGAGAGGTCACCTCTATAGGCCCAAGCTGGACCCCTGGCCTTACCCTGATGCCCCTCCCTCCTGGGCAGAGAAGGGGTTCCCCCACCCTCTGTAGAGTTTCCTTCCAAATGTCTTTCAACTTGAGTACATCTCTTCCATAGCTCTCCTGGCCACTGTCTTCTCTGCCTGGCTCCCTGTGGTATCCCTAAATGCCACCCCTGCCTCCACGTTTGTCCCCCAATGCAACACATCACAGTGCAGCCAGAGTCATCTTTTTTTTTTTTCAACTTGGAGTCTCACTCTGTCGCTCAGGCTAGAGTGCAATGGCACACTCACAGGCACCGCAACCTCGACCTGCTGGGCTCAGGTCATCCTTCCACCTCAGCCTTCCAAGTAACTGGAATTACAGGCACGTGTCACCATGCCTGGCTGATTTTTTGACTTATTGTAGAGACGGGATCTCACCAAGTTGCCCAGAGCCCATGGGCTCAGGCAATCCTCTCACCTCAGCCTCCCAAAGTGCTGGGATTATAGGTGTGAGCCACCATGCCCAGCTCTGAGTCATCTTTCTAAAACAGAAATCTGACCTGGTCCCTCCCCTGCGTAAAACTTCCATGGCTCCCCATTGCCCTGACACTCCTCAGGTGGTCATTTGGTGCCCTCCATGAGCTGGCCTTGGTAGAGGTTCTCAATCCACGCTTGACCCATGCCAGCAGACCTCAGCCAACCACTCGTACCTGCTCTCAACCAACTCACAGGGTCCCGGCAAACCCTCTCGTACCCTCCTCCCTCCCTGAGTTTATCTTTACCTCTACCTGGAGCGCCCTTGGACACTTCATTTGTCTAGAGAACTTCTTTTTTTTTTTTTTGAGTTAGAGTCTCACTCTGTCGCTCAGACTGAAGTGCAGTGGCCGCTCCCAGCCACTGCAGCCTCCACCTGCTGGGCTCCATTGATCCGTCTGCCTCAGCCTTCCAAGTAGCTGGAACTACAGGTGCGTGCTACCATGCCCGGCTAATTTTTTGATTTATTGTAGAGATGAGGGCTCGCCAAGTTGGCCAGGTGGGTCTCGAACCCACGGGTTCAAGCAATCCACTCTCCTCGGCCTCCCAAAGCGTGGGATTACAGGCTGAGCCACCGAGTCCGGCCTCTAGAGAACTTCTACATGGCCTTCAAGGTCCTTTCAAATGGCATCTCCTCCACGAAGGCTTCTCATACTTCTTGAGCCCCATGGAGCGCTCAGTAAACATTTTTCAGTGAATTACTCTAGGGATTGTCTTGCTCTGGTGGGCTTTGGCTCCCCCTAGGGGTCATGGGGGAGAAGTAACCCCTGGGCCTGGGCTACTGTCCCATTTCTCCGACACTCACCAGCCAGCCGCCCTGCATGGTGTCCATGTCACAAAAGACTGGGAGTGCCCTGCCCTCAGGTAGACATAGATGATACCAGCCGCTCAAGGTGGCTCCCTGGCTCAGCAGTTCCTGGCAGCTCTTGGGACCTGGGAAAGGGGAGATGAACTGAGGGGAACCGACCCCCAGCCCTGGGCACTGGAACGAGTGTGGGACCTCAGAAGTCCTCTCGGCTTCTTCAGGTCCCTGAAGGGGGTTTCTAGGGAGGGCTGTGGGGAGGAGCTTGGTTATGCCTGGGGGCCCACCAACACCCCAATACTGCCTGCTTCCAAGTTCCTGTCTCCTGTGAAGTCTGCCTCACCCTTCTGGCACCGGAGCAAGTTCGCTGGATCTCCTGCCCCAGAGAAGGACCGAATGTTGGTTTTGAGGTCTGAGCACACTCAAGGGCCACCTATGAGCCACCGGTGGAGTGGGTGCCCAGGCCCTTTTCCTAACCCTCCCACTCCTCCCAGCCTTCCATCCCCCTATGGGAGGGCAGCCATAGCCAATCACTGGGCAACAGCCAAGCAGAGACCTCCCAGCCAGGGACAGAAGCAAAGAAGGGAGGGGAGGCCCCAGCTCTACACACTCACCTGGCTCACCCTTGGGGCCCATCTTGCCCAGGGGTCCAGGTTGCCCTGAAATCCCAGAGGAGAGATGCTTGAGTCCCACCCCATGCCCAGGACCAAAAAGGAACAAAGGCTTTGGAGTCCAAATTCCAGTTTCACCCTTTACTAGGCAAACAACGTATCTTCTGTGAACCTCACTTTCCTCCTCAGAAAAACGGGGACACCACCACCTAGATGGCAGTTGATCTTAGGATGCTGGGCACCCAGCCTGGGCCTGTCACAGAGTAGATTCCTTACCCCTTGTCTTGACCCCTCAGCTCCATCTCCATTCTCCTCAGCTTACCCCAAAGCCCCACCAGCTCCCCAGCCTCTCTCACCTTGAGGACCTGAAGCCCCCTTCTCTCCAGGACTTCCTGGGGATCCAGGACAACTGGGCAGGAGGACAACTTTGCTGGCTTCCAGCTCCCTGGGTCCTGCAGGGAGACACAGGCCGGGTGAGCACAGGGTGGGACTATCTCTCCCAGACCCCTGTACAGTCCTTCCATCTCCCAGATTCTAGCTGTCAGGATGCTTGTCTCCTGAGCTAGCAAGGTTTTGCATTATTTACATCCCATTTGCATATATTTGCATGCAGAGCCCAGATGATCAAACTCCCACCCTGCTCCTTGGGGCGGGTGAGCTTGGTTGGGGGGAACACCCAGGGAGGCAACGAGGGATGCGTTGGTGGAGAGGGCACCCTAGGCACCTACCTGGGCAGCTGGGGTGTTCCTGGGTCCTCAGGCAGGCAGGTCCCCCAAGCAGGAAGAGCAGCAGGGAAAGGGGGGTCCACGGTAGGCCCATCTTGCTGGGCCACCAGAGGGAGGATGCCAGCTTATAAGGGGGCCAAGCTGGTGGGAGGACTTGAAGCAAGACTTCCTTCCATTGTCCCCCAGGACACCCCACCCAGGCTGGAGCCAGTTCTGGGGGTGGTATTTCCTCCCTCAGCCCCAGAGAGAAAGGGCATTGTCCCTGCCCTGTCCATTCAGGAGGGAGTCCAACTTCTGACCCTGGCTTCCAGGGCTCCCAGCCAGCCATCCAGACCTCTTTGTTCATACTCATCTCTATCGGTGAAGCTTTACCTGTCCATGAGGGGCCAGCCCTAAGGCCATCTCTGCTAGGAAGTCTTCCCTGGTCCTCTCCAACCCTATGAATAGTGATCACAGCTACCACTTATTGGGCACCCACTGCACTGCCATGTCACACTAAGTGTGGTTCATCACCCCCAGTCCTTAGATAGCCTCACTCTTTTTTTTTGAGTCGGAGCCTCACTCCATTGCCCAGGTTAAAGTGCCGTGGCATGCTCAGGGCCACCCCAACGTCGACCTGCTGGGCTCCGAGGATCCTTCCATCTCAGTCTTCCAAGTAGCCGGAACTACAGGTGTGTGGAACCATGCCCAGCTAATTTTTAAATTTATTGTAGAGATCTTGCCAAGATCTTGCCAAGATCTTGCCAAGTTGCCCAGGCTGGTCTCAAACCCGCAGGCTCAGGTAATCCACTCACCTCGGCCTCCCAAAATGGTGGGATTATAGGCTGAGCCATCGAGCCTGGCCTAGATGGCCTCACTCTTAGTCCTTACTATTGGCCCTGGGTTATGGGCCTGGTACAAAGCAGGTACTCAATAAATAGTAAATGAATGAATAAAAAAGGAGAAATCGAGGTCCAGAGATGGAACATGACTTCCACTCTCTCTGACACTTTCATGCCTAGAACCACAGAGCTTCCTTCCAAGCCCATGCCCACACCAGCAAGAAGCACCCTTAGGAAAGTAACTCTATGCCCAACTGCAAGTCCCCTGAGGCCTAGAAAAAGCTGCTAATATAGGTCAATGAAGTGGGCAGCCCATGCAGAGGCAGCCTAGAGGCTATAATGCCAGTAAGTCACAGCAGCTAGGGTCCAGATGTGAAGAATGAGGTCTGAGCTGGAGAGGGACCTGAGGTGATGGGGAGAGAGGGAGGGCTCATTCGTTCATTCATTCATTCACTCATTCAGCAAACCATTCCCAAGGGCTTCCTCTTTGCTAGGTCCAGTGCTTATGGGAAGGCTAAGGTACAAGGAAGTATCAGGGGAAGTGGAGGCTGGATTTGCCTGACAAGAGGGAGGGCCCGAGACAATGCAACTGCAGTTCTAGGAACTCTCTCACAGGTGTGACAAGATCTGTAAACAAGTCTGTTCATCTTGGTACTGTTTGTGCGAATCAATGTGGAAATGTCCCAGCCAGCCATTGAAAGGATCCAGGCAAATAAATCATAACCATCTGGACAAGTCATAGGGCAAATCTGATCTAAAACAAGAGGGGTAAAAGTGCAGAACAGTACACACAGCACAACCTCGCCTGTATCTTTTTTTTTTTTTTTTTTTAGGAGTCTCACTCTGTTGCGCAGACTGGAGTGCAGTGGCATGTTCACGGCCACTCCAGCCTCAACCTGCTGGGCTCAAGTCATTCTTCCACCTCAGCCTTCCAAGTAACTGGAAACACAGGCATGTGTCTCCATGCTCGACTAATTTTTTTGATTTATTATAGAGACGAGGTCTCATCAAGTTGCCCAGGCTGGTCTTGAACCCCTGGGCAGGCAATCTTCTCGCCTCAGCCTTCCAAAGTGCTGGGATTACAGGCGTGAGCCGCCACACTCGGCTGATTCTCACTCTTTATGTAAACTTCTGTACAATCCTTTTTTCCTTCACAGGCATTTACTACTTTGAAAGAAAAAGAAGGCACCCAATAAAGGAGGGTGAGGGAGGGAAATGGTGCTGGGGGAGAAGCCAGGGAAGGGTGATCCAGGCAGGAGGAATTGCACGTGCAAAGCCTTGGAGAAGAGAGAAGGCAGGCTGGGGAACAGGAAGTAGGTCCCCCAGGAGTGTGGGAAGGGGAGGCTGCTGCCTGAGAGGCTGGGAGCTTTGGCTAGGTGAGTGTGGGAGGGAGGAGGAGGTGGGCTGTGGTGGCCTTGCAGACAGTGTGATGTGTGGGCAAGTGGGCCTTCTGTGAGCCGAGGAGCAGCTGGAGCTACCTGTGGACCCTAGGGTCCTGCAGAGTCCCTGCACCTACAGGCAGACACCCCACAGGGTGGTGGAGCTGGGCAGGAAGAGGTGCAGCAGGCCCGACCACAGGTTGCACAGATGGAAAAGTAGATGTGGTGTCCTGAACGAAGTAAAGAGACCATGCACACCTACTCTCAACCTGAGATGGACACTGCTATCCCGAGGAAACAGAGGTCCAGAGCTGTTAAACAACCTACTTGCGTTCACCCAGAGCAGTCGGGTTGTCCGCCATTACTTTATTCCTTTCAACTTCTAGTTGTGGGATTAAAAGAGATAAAGACAGAAGACTCTCAGCTACCTGTCTGGCTCCCAGTCAGTAGGAGATGTTATCAGGAAGCCTTCTGTGCCCAGGAATAGGGTAGGGAAGCCTGAGTGAGAAAGGTCAGAAGTGGCTGCCTGGGAGTCCTGGGGTGCTCTCCACTTTGGCACCGGGACAGAGACCTAACTTTAGGGAGCTGAAATAGCCCAGAGATGGCTCTGGAATGAAGTTCTGCTCACTCTGGGGTAAGAAAAACCTGGATTTAAACCCCAGCCCTGCCCCGTCCTGCTGTGTGATCTGGAGCACTTACCTTTCTGAGTCTCCATACCCTCATTTATAAAGGGGCAGGGGGAGGGGGTTAAGCAGGTATCAAAGGTGAATTTTTTTTTTGGAATCAGGGTCTTACTGTGTTGGCCAGGCTGGAATGCAGTGGCAGGATCACTACTCACCATAGTCTCAAACTCCTGAGCTCAAGAAATCCTCCCATCTCAGCCTTCCACATAGCTGGGATTACAGGCATGTGCCACCATGCCTGGCTAGTTTGTTTGTTTTTGTAGAGACAAAGTCTCAGTATGTTGCCCAGGCTGGCCTCAAACTTCTGGACTCAAGCGATCCCTTCATCTCAGTCTCCCAAAGTGCTGGAATTACAGGTGTGAACCATTGTACTAGGCCACGAAAATATTTTAAAAGGTGACAGCAACAGTCCTAGATGGAATTCCCATTAAGGAGAGGACACTGGTTGTACCCTCACCCCATCCATCTCACACACAGCCCAAGACACAGGACATGAAGCACAATGCTGGAATTTCCTTTATTTGGGGGCAGTGCCCAGGCCAGTTGGTGGGAAGAGGCAGGCACAAAACCCAGGTGCCAGGCTGAGGAACCAGCAGGAATGACAGATGAGACATGAGGTGGCCAAGGGATGCTGTCAGCTGTAGGTACCAGGCCCAGAACAAGAGGCATGTCAGGCATCGAGAACTGAGCCTGCTTGGTGCCCACAGGGACCAATGGTGGCCGAAGTTTTTCCTACCCCCCAATGCCCACAAGGGGGCCAAGAGGGTAGCCTCTGCATTCTCCTTCCCCTGAGTGTGGGTGGAGTCCAGCCCAGAGGCGGTCAGATTCTGCAGAGGCCAGACAGAGAGGACACTCGGAGAGGTGGCCCTGCTTCAGCCTGCCCCAGAGAGCAGGCAGCGGCTAGAAAAGCAAACCCTTTAATGCAGGCTGCGGCGACCCGCCCCACAGCACACACAGCACACGGAGGCCAGGCACAGCTCCCCTTCCCAGAGGAAAACCAAACGAGACACACGGCCCGGCTCCTGCCTATGGCCACAGAACTGCGGGCCACAGGCTTGCCTGGGCTGTCACCTACTGGTTCTCCTCCCTGCTGGCAGCATGAGGGGACAAAGACATAGGTGGGCTCAGCTGGGCTCCCAGACACCTGGGTCAGGCTAAGTCCTGGTCCCAGCCAACGTCTGGCAGAGAGAGTCCCCCAACTGGAGGACAGAGAGTGTGGCTCACATGAGGTCACTGTGGGGGAATAATTGTCCTCAGGGCTGTCTCATGGAGTAGACAGCTTGCTGAGCACTGAAGGGGAGCTTCGGGGCAGGAGGGGTGAAGGAACTGAGCCAAGACTCTGCTGCTGGCCAGGTACTCACAGTGTCTGGTAGGTGCTGTCCTTGGCCTTGAGGAAGCGCAGCACGAAGAAGGCCACTGCCTGCAGGCTCAGCACCAGCACGACGCCCCCAATAAAGCTGGCGCCATCAAAGCCAGGGCTGTGAACTTCGGGAACTGGGGGGCTCCCTGAAGGGGTGAAGCAGGGCAGAGGTCATGACAGGCCATCACGGACCAAGATGGTAGTCCTACCCCTGTAGCCATCTCGGGCCACCCTGAGGCCCCAGTCCTCACTATGGGGTCCTTGAACACTGGGTTCAAAGTTCAGCCCAGTTCTTGCAGGCATTTGGGAAGGGCCTGGTGGGAGGGACAGTGGCCGGGGAGGGTGGGGTGCTTTTTGGCCCTGGCTCTGCTCCTGAGTTGCTCTGTGGCTTTATGTCACACACACCTTCTCTGCACCTCCTGGTTACACAGGCCCAGCACATGGTCTGGACCAGACAGTGACCGAGCTCTCTTCCAGCCTACCTGTCCCTCACTAGCCTAATAGGGTAAGGAAAGATCCAGAACTCGGGCATTCAGACCCCATACCCCGGAGTCCCTTTCAGACTTGGGCCTGAGGGTTCAGAGCCCAGATATAGATAGTGTGGTCTCTTTTCAAGACTCCTAATCCCTGACACTCCAGAGTCAGCCAACATCAGAGCCTGCGCTTAGAGAAGCAGCAGAGTAAGAAGTGCAGACCCCCCAGAGCCTCCGCCCTGCCAAGTGGGCGAGTAGAGACTGGACAGTGTGCATCAGAGGGAGGAACCAGGCTGAGGGCCAAGCTTGGCCCAAGTCACCTCACAGTTAGGACAGGGTCTCCTGATCCTTTCCTCTGTCCCTTAGAGGATCGAGCCTTAGGGCCACAGTTGCCAGGCTACATCT